TTAGGAAGGAAGCAGAAAACTGGGAAAGAATTTTTACAACCAGTATCTCTGATAAGGGCCTCATTTCTAAAATATATAGAGAACTAAGTCAAATTTATAAGAATACAAGTCATTCCCCAATTGATAAATGGTCAAAGGATATGAACAGGCAGTTCTCAGATGAAGAAATTAAAGCCATCTATAGTCATATGAAAAAAATGTTCTAAATCACTATTGATTAGAGAAATGCAAATCAAAATAACTCTGAAGTACCACATCACACCTATCAGATTTTCCAACATGACAAAACAAGTAAATATTGGAGAAGATGTGGGAAAACTGGAACACTAATGCATTGTTGGCGGAGTTGTGAAATAAGCCAACCATTTTGGAGAGCAATTTGGAACCATATGCAAAGGGCTATAAAAATGTGCATACCCTTTGACCCAGCAATAGCACTTCTAGGGCTATATCCCAAAGAGGTCATACAAATGGGAAAAGGATCCGCATGCACAAAAACATTTATAGCAGCTCTTTTTGTGGTGGCCAAGAATTGGAAATCGAGGGGGTGCCTGTCAATTGGGGAATGGCTGAACAAGTTGTGGTATGTGAATATAATGGAATACTATTGTGCTATAAGAAATGATGAGCAGGTGGATTTTAGAAAAACCTGGAAAGACTTGTGTGGACTGATGCTGAGTGAAGTGAGCAGAACCAGGAGAACATTGTACACAGTAACAACCACATTGTGCGATGACTAACTTTGACAGACTTAGCCCTTCTCAGCAATGCAAGGATCTAAGACATCTCCAAAAGTCTCATGAAGGCAAAATGCTATCCTCATCCAAAGAAAGAACTATGGAGTTTGAATGCAGATCGAAGCATACTATTTGCCATTTTTTTCTTCTGTTTTGTTTTGTTTCCTCTTTCTTGTGGTTCCTCCTATTGGTTGTAATTCTTCCTTACAACATAACTAGGGTGGAAATATCTTCAGTATGGATGTGTATGTAAAGCCTATATCAAATTGCACAAGGGAAGAAGAGAGGGAGGAGAAAATTTAAAACTCAGAATCTTGTGGAAGTGAATGTTGAAAACTAAAAATAAATTCATTAAAAAATAAAATAAAAGACTATTTTTAAAGTGTCAAAAAACCTTTTTAAAAATTTTTTTAAAAATTTAAATCACTGTAAAATGTTATTACAGAAGGTAATTAGTGTCCAGTTAGACCATCTCATCCAAAGGCAGATGGTTTCTTAATGCACTGAGCTGGAGAAAGTACTTTGCAAATCTTAAAGGCCTGTAGGAATGGAAGTTCCTATCATTATAGGCTAATGGAGCTTATGATATTTTCTCTTCAAATCCAATGCCACAATGCCATATTTAATCCCAACTGGCCTTGGCAAACCCCAAACACTTTCCTTCTGAAGCAGCAGCATCACCATTCTTCCAGAAGGCTAAAGATACCTATAGCCTCACGGCCCCAGAGCTACCACCCCTTCTTTTTTTTGCCCTAATCTCCATACACATGAGGGATAGTGGGGTATAGCTGGATGCTGAACTGGGAGTGTTGAGACAGCACTCCTGGCCTTAGGGAGCAGATAGTGGGATTGAGAATATAAAACTGGTCTGAGGGAGTTAGGGAGAACTAAAAGCTGGAAGTATGAGGAAAGGGATACGGAATCATCAAAAAATATTGCCAGGCTGGAGAGGGCCACTGAGATGTTACATATCACAAAAATAGGAACACACAGGCACAAATATAGAATGTATAATAAAAACACACCCTCTCTCAAGTGTCTACTATGGGACAGCCACTGTGTTAAGGTATTAGAGATACAAAGACAGAAGTAAGACAGTTCCTGCCTTCAAGCTCTTTGTAGATAACATGTGTGTATGTATATGTATGGATATGTGTACACACATATACACACACAAACACACCATGGTGTCCTAAGTCTTAGTGCAGTTTTGAGCTTTATTTGCTTAAATAGTAAATAAATAGTTTCTGGGATACTCTCTGCTTATGTGTATGTATGTATGTATGTACATATATATTTAAAACATATACAAAATGAATACAGATGTAATGTGGGTTGTACAAAGGATGTGAAGATATTCCCTCCTTACTTCCCTTGACCACATGTGTGACTCAGCATCTGGGTCCTTTGGGAATGATTAACTTCCTGGTTGCTGCCAGCAGTGTGGTGTCTCATCAGTTGAAAAAATTTGTTGCTTGGGTATGAGGCAGAAAACCCCAAGTGGTCCTTTTGTCCTCTCCCATCCCCACCTTTAGACAGTGTTCTCTTCTTTTGACTCGTCAACAGTCATCCTGAAAATCTGAAATTTCCACTGAGGGAAAGCAGCCCTAGCATCAGATGGCCACATGGCAGGTTGAATAGGGGATCTGATTAGGTGAGCATGTGCCTGAGCTACTTCATCTTATTTCCTTTCCTTGAGTAGGTGATCAACCATCAGCATCAAAATAGAAGTATTAAGGCTTGAGAGTGACTGAATTCTAGAGGTCCAGAGGGTTATCAGAGATCTGCCTCACTTAAATCCAATTCACTTAGAAGTCAAGCTGTCACCCTCCCCACCTCATTGGTCTTCTTGGAGAACAAAGGACCAGCAACAGCAACAAACAACAATGATGCCCATAGGGTACGGCAGCAAGGTGAAATGTGTCATGCTTATTTAGCAATCCTGCTTTACATTGTTAGGGTTTAAGCATCAGCTTTCTAAGAGAGTATAATAGAGGTTATAACTTAAATTACTGAATCCTGTTTTAAGTTCTAGCAATGCACATTGTAAGACTTTTGTATCTATGAGTATGTCATTTGTTTGTAGGGACAGGTATGGGACAGCCACTGTGTTAATGTATTGGAGATACAAAGACAAAAGTGAGACAGTTCCTGCCTTCAAGCTCTTTGCAGATAAAGTGTGTATGTATATATATGGATTTATGTACACACATATACACACACAAACACACCATGGTGTGCCAAGTCTTAAGCTTTAATTGCTTAAATAATGAATAAATAGCTTTTGGGGCACTCTCTGCTTATGTGTATATGCATATATATGTATATAATTAAAACATATGCGAAATGATATATATATATATACACCTGTTTTACACTGTTCACTGAGTTTCTTTTTTATTCTCATTTCAGGGAGACTTCCTAGACATGAGACAATATCTAAGTGTTAAATAATTTGTCCCTAGGGAGCACTAAGGTTGGCGTTTAAAAGCAAAAAAGTAAGAGAAAATGAAGTCTAATTTTTTTATTATAGAGGCCAGGCTCCTAAAGGACTGAAAGCAATCTGAACCACATGCTTGGGTCCAGAGCACAGGAATCTACTAGTGGAGAGGGACAGGGTGAAGTGTTTCAGCCTTCTGGGCCCAGAAACAGTACTACACAAGGTAGGAAAGGTACTAGAAACTGGAAGTATCAGGAAAGACTTCGTGTAGAAAGTGGAGCTTGCGCTGAGTTTTGAATGAACGGAGATTCCAAGAGGTGGAAGTGAGAAGGAACAGCAACAATGCAGGCTTGGAGAACAGCTAAGGGCACAGACGCTGGAAATAGAGTGCCCTGTGTGAGGACCAGCAAGTAGACCAGTTTTGCTGCACCATAGCACTCGGGGAGGGAAATAATGTATGTAACATAGTAGAAAGAACCCCGGATTTGGAGTTAGAAGACCAAGATTTCAATCTTGACTCTACTACTTTCTACCTGGATGCCTTTGTCTCCCAAGACCTCGGTTTACTCATAAAATGAAGGAATTGGACTCAATGATCTCGAAGGTTCTAAGTCTAAAGTGCTCTGATTATATCTACCTGTGCTTCACCTTCAGATAGGAAATGTTTATCCAGGACCCCTCCCTCCCAACCCCTTTACAGGCTGTAAAAACCCTTCCTGGATCAACAGTGGTCACTCAGCTCTTCAAAATATACCAAGCCAATAACAGAGTCAATCCCTCTCCTCCTTCCCCCTCCAACTTTAACACCTCCCCAACATCCCTCAGTTTCTGAGCACTCGATCCCTCGTAATGGAGGCCCTTAGGTGTGTTTTTCAACGATTTAGGAAAGTCGTGGTTGGAGGGAAACAGTAGAGGGATATGGAACAAAGCGTGGACATCGGCCTTCAGAATCACATATGCATAACCTTCCTCCACCTCCACCTCTTTCACCTCCCCCGCACCGAGCCCAGAGCTCTAGGAAGACACTTGTAAATAGCCAGACTAGGCAGCGGGCTGGCTGAGGAACTGAACATGCGCACAGAGCCGCCCGAGCGTCAGGAGCAGAGGAGAGGCATAGAGCAGCGACGTTAGCAGTTTCTCTCTTTTAGGAGCAGGCGCCAAGGGTGCAGCAGGCAGAGGAAGGCTGGGGTGGCTGAGGAATGGGAAAGGAGTAGGAGATGGGAAGGATAAGTGAGTGTGTGTGCAAGTAAGTGCTG